TTAGAATAGGTCCAACAAGTCTGTTCACAAAGTCATATGGTTTATTAATGCACAAAAAAAGACCTGGTGGCTGAGTACCAGGATAAATTTCGAAATTCAAGGGGTAAAATGTCTTCGCATTACCAGGGCATATATTTCCATACCATATTTAGAAGGTTTACTTGGCATATATTGCTGCAAGCTTCAACAACCATGAAATGATGCAAGTTGTCATTTGTCATGTATTCAGATGATGTATAAATTGCTTGACAGTTCAGAACAAAACTTTCAGCAAATGAGTGAGTAGCAGCCAAATTATCATATTTTTTTTTCTTTTTTCTTTCTTGGTAGGTCTTTTTGCCATCAAAATGTCGGCAATTTTGAAGGAAACCAAATCTCTTGAGTGTTACTATTCTAAAAATCTCAGAACCACATCTGTCACTTCTTAAATCCTTTAGATTCTGACGATTAGAATGATAAAGTCCTGCTGTGAAGGCTTTTAGCTCAGAAGGTGTCATGATATATTTTTAAGTATTACACTTGATACATATAGCATGTTTTCTTGTATTTCTTTATTAGTATATTTCAAAACTTCTTGTAGCATATTGTCCATTGCAAACAATTTCCAACATTGAATCACAGTGTTGACATTCGATCCAGTAGGTTTCACCCCAGCAAGAACCTATTAACATTCCTGACTTAGTTCTAACATTGGATCCTTCAGGTATACGTGACCATTTTGTAGCATTTTGACTACTCAAGTATTTATTTATATTACTGTTTCATTCTACATCTGAATCAAAATCTCTATTCTGTACTTTCCTATATGTCATATCTCTGTCATATCTGTCTTACATTGCTGACTTCTTTGGCTTACATGATCCAGATCATCAGTAGCCAAATCACCTGATGACTCACTTTCAACCTACTCCCAAAGTTGTAAAAGCATATTTTCAGGGGACAATCTACTGAATAAATTGGGCTAAATCTATAAGGAAAAAAAACCAAAAGAAAACTTTTAAAATTATAAATACATAAAAATGTAACAGTGCATAATGTGGGTAAAACTCACCCTTTATACTTTGTCACACATGTAAATTACCTTGCTGTTCATCTTATCAAGTGATTGAACAAAGATTGCTTCCTGTATTCCCCTAGCATAGCGACTGAAATGACAGCTGTATACCATTAGGCTAAAATACATATTTTCATTAGAAAAGTACAATATCTGCAAGGCAGTATGAGGAACCAAGGGTTTTAAATATGTCTGTTCTTTATGCTTCTGTTCTCAGCTTCCTTCTATTTTCTCTTTATTATGGGATGAGGTCGAACAAAATTTAAAAGGATATGTAATGGGCAAGAGACATATGGTTCCTTGAGTAAGCTTTTTGGCATGAGTTATCATCTCCCAAAGTGGGTGCTAAATGTCATCAGTAGAATATTTATAGGTGTTCTGCCATTAATAGGAGAAGAGTTCTGCAAGAAACACCAGGTATCTTAGACTGTTATATAATATATAAACAATGCGAAGTTATTGCTTAATTCCAGAACCTACATGATCAAAGAATACTTCTTCCCCTAAACAAACACTAATAATCTGCTCAAGGGAAATGCTGGCCTAGACTAGAGGACTGAGCAGGAAAGAGAAAAGTGGGACCTTTTTTGGAGAAGTATTATATCTTGAAAATGATTCCAAAATAACTGATTCCCAGAGCAAAGAGGAAAAAAAAATCATGAAATAGATATCCTGAGACTATTTCCATTTTTACCTGCTTTTTTAAATTTGGGTTAGGAAAGAAGAACCAGTAATCAGAGTAATGCTTTTTTTTTTTTTAATTTCAACTAAGGCTTGTCGTGAGGAAAAAATAAAACCAAAAGGAACCTTTCAGAATTATTCTCTGTCAGCTACTTGTGTATTGGCTACTTATAGATTTAGTTTAGAGCTTTCATGAAATCTGTCATTTACTAGCTTTTACTGCCACTGAAAACTCTTATCATTGGTATTTTTAGTTATATTCAGTGGTAGAATTAATTTTTTTAAATTCTTCATCTTGGCTTGTGAGGCTAATTCAACAAAACACCCTATCTCTTTACGCTGCTATGCTGTTTCTTTGCTTGCTTTATTCCTTCTACTTAGAATACCCTTTTCCTCTCTGTATGTATGTCCACATTCTGTCCTTCACACTTGGGTTTTCAGAGCAGTAATTTCTTCCTTCTCTACATACCAACACACTTTTTTTTTTTTTGCCTCCATGACACTAATACCCCTGAATACCATGCTGCACATGGCATTAAGCTGTGTTGATACCTGCTGCTTTGTGAGAGTGGGAGGGCAGACACTCCATCTTGACATCTCTGGTCTTCCACTTGACCTTAGGTAGCCCATATATGTTAACTGGTGAAAGAGAAACTGGCTAATTATCCGAAGCATGTTCTCTGTCACTGGTTGTATATTGCAAAATAGGAAAAGTAAAAGTGGCATAAAGGATTGCTTAATTGGTTCTTCTGGACATTATTTATAAATAAAAGGAAACAAGGTAAAGTTTCTGGAAGCAAGTGTTAGATGTAGGGAGTCCTTCCACTATTCTAGGAAGAACAAATAGCAATACTTCTTCCTTCTCACAAGGGAAGAGCTTTACATATGAGGTCTTTGAAGACTAATATTAAGCTCTAGCTTCCCTGTCCATTGTCTCTCAGAGGTTCTATAGGTCTGTCTAATCCAGACATTCCTACTGTTCACAGGAAAACACTATCCAAGTTTTTCCATCTCTCAACTGGAATGGAATTATTATAGTTAGGTCATTAAAAAATACAGTAGAGGAATTACTCTTGATTGCTCTTGATGTACTAGAGGCCTCAAATGTACCCTTTCAGGTGGCCACTACTTCCTGACCATATCTCACTACTATTGCTCCCCTTGGGGGATATCATATAAAAGCAAATACAGTTTATAGAAAAGTCTGTAGATACAGATGTGAAGAAAGGAAAGTTGATCTGCACAAAACAATTACTTAGGGGAACTTACTCCAAGGTCAGCCTTCTAAGACTCAGCAATATGCTACTTGCCACTTCCTAAATATATGTACCTTACTGTGCTAGATTCCATAAGTTTCCAGTGATTACAGTCATTCCTTCCTCTCCCTCTTTAATTACTTTGAATTGAGAAGGAAGCATAATGAACCACTGGCTTCATTTCACAGATGTGCCAGCAGTGCTACCTACCCACCACCACTTTACATGTCCTCAGCTGGCTACTACTCCATTTGAGATTTTTCCTTCCAACTTCATATGCCCTTGTTAGTAAGATCACTACCCTGCAAAACCTGGAGCATCATTCACATAGCAAATACACTAGTGCAGTAATTAGTATTTGTCTGGCATACATGTTAGGTACTCAGGAAATGTGCCTGTTATATACTGGCCTTTGTTTTCTCTCAGGCAAGGTTCAGCTAGGAAGTATGTAAAATGTGACATTGGCTCACATCTCTACTCCCTTAGCCTGAGGAGAGAGCCATACCAGGAGCACATTTGCTGCTTCAAATGACTTCTGCAGACTTTTTAACCTTGCAATGATTGCTTCGAATTCTTGTCCATATGAAAGAAGTGCTGTGTAGGTAGGTGTTGGAGCCTCTCCCTGCTTCTCTTTCTTCCTGGAGGCTTCCAAGGCGCTATTGGAACATAGTGGGACCACTACACAGCCAGTTTACCATGGTTGGCATTTCACAAGCTTTTATTGTGCTTAATAATTATCACATTCTCATTTTCAAAAGAACTTGCACCAGAAAATGTGATGAAGTGGTTTTCCTAAACCCCAGAAGTTCTATTTTTCCCTTCAACAGGTTGATAGCCACTTCTAGTGGTTGCTTTTCCACTTTTTCTGGAAAAGCATTGACATGCATAACCACTGTAGTTAACTTCAGTGCTCACTAATGAAGCCCAGAACTGATAGTTACATTGTCGTAATTTGACAAAGCCATCTAAATCTATGCATGTTTTTTTGAAAGCTCCCTAAACATGCCACTAAATCCCCTAAAAAGCACTAAACTGCTTTGGCAGCCATTAACCCGGCATAAGCAAAGGAACTCTTTTCAGTAAATGAACAAACAGAGAAAATAAGCTGAATGGCTGGACAAATGTGTTTCAGCTGGCCTTTTCATTTACCGATATAAGGGCACAGTCAGTATCAGTCACTGTTTTCCCTATTTCCCTGCAAATCCCAGTATGTCTTTTCATCCCACAGGCTCTTTTCACCACATTAATGTATCCTGAGAATGATACTGGCATCAACCTGCTTCCACTGTCTGAAGTCTTGAGTGCTTAAAAAACACATTTTGGGATTCTTGAACCTGGCTTTCCTTCTATTTTCCTACAGCCTCCTTTCTTCTCCCTCCCTTTATCAATTCTGCCCCCTCCCCAGATTCTTTTCAGTTGTTCCAGTTTTCTTTGCTGAGTGAACAGAGTTCACTTCTCTGTTCTAATGCAGCTCTCCAAAGTAAACATAGACACCCCTAACTGATATTCCCAAGATCAATAATTTATTAAAGAAGTTGGTAATCCATCAAAGATGAAAAGGGATGTGAAAATTCTGTGCTCTGTCAGCGTATGCTGATGATCAGGACCTCACTCTGCCCCAAAGGCATTCTTTCCTTTGCCCTCTCTTACCACTTGGCTCCTCCCCTTGCCCTACGCATGCACACCACCCTTTGCTATCCCAGATTGAGAGTGTGTGCATGCATATTTGTTCCATCTTTGCAATTACAAGAAAACACCCTACTTACATATGTGCTTCTGGTACTGAGTACTTCATACATTTGTTTTGGAATGAAGGAAGGAGAAAGCAATTATATATGATTACTTTTTTTCTTTCTGAAAACGTAAATGGAGTAATTCCTGTGGATAAATTTTAGCAGTATGCTTATGGTCATAGAAGTTACTGTGGATGAATACTTGAGCTGTCATATTTCTGTAAAGAATATTGATTGTTTTCTCCTGGCTTTTATTTATTTATCTTTAAATTTCAGATTGTAGCCGTCTGTAGAGAGGCAGCTCTTCTGGCTCTAGAAGAAAACATTAAAGCCAGCTGCATTATGAAGAAGCATTTTACTCAAGCTTTGAGCATGGTGACACCTAGAATTCCTGAATCATTGAGACGTTTTTATGAAGATTATCAGGAGAAAAGTGGGCTGCATACTCTCTGAGAAAATGTTTATATTCATCGTACTATAATTCTTTGTAGAGAAAATTTGTTTCTTTTTAAAATTTTTCCTTGAGTGTTTAAAAATTTTTTTAAACTTAAATGCTTTAAGAAGTAAAGCATTTGAAATATTTTCACTGGAATTGAGAGGATTCAATTGTTCTAGACATTTTGAATCATACAGACACAGTGAAAATATTTCTGAGTTTAAATCATCAGTTCTATCTGGAAATGTGTGCTAAGTTTTTGTTGTTGGTTTTTTTTTGCGGGGGGGTTGGTACCGGGGATCAAACTCAGGACCTTGCACTTGCAAGGCAGGTGCAGTGCCACTGAGCTAAATCACTGGTCCATGTGCTAGGTTTTAAAAAGCAAATGTTTAGCTTTTTTATTTTTTATCTTATGCATTCATCTCTTGAAATCATTTTCTTATTCCAGAATTCATTTCATTTCCTCCTAAGGGCCAAACCTTGCCATCAATTTTATACAACAAAGTAGAAAATGTATGTGAATAAATGCCTTGTGAAAAATATTCATAAATCCTTATTTTTGAAGGCCAGCTAGTGAAACAGCCAAATGTATGTACAGGTTCATTTGGCCTTATTAACAAATAAACATGTGTTCTCATTGTAGTTCACACCTACATTTATGGCAAAAAAAAAAGTATTGAGTTATTTCATATAAGATAATGCCCTTGGAATGTTTGAAAGTTTGTAAATGTAAGGCCAGTTTAAGCTGTAGAAACAAGTTTGTTTTTTTCCCCTAATGTGCTATAGACAAATCATAAAAAGCACTCATGTTTTAACTTGTATGCGTTTTCAGATTACCAATAAATTTTCAGTTTAAAAATAAGCTTAAAAAATAAAAAATTGTACGTTTCATCATATTGTGCTATACTGAACTCTAAATTTGTCGTGTGTGTGTGTGTGTGTGTGTGTGTGTGTGTGTGTGTGTTTCTAGTTGTACATCCTTAGAGTTTCTCAGCACTTTAATACTCTATACCCTTGAAAAAGCTTTTGGATTATGATTCCCTGGCATGCCAATCAGAAACTGGCAATGGGAAGAATGTTCACTTAAAGTTATTCACTATGGATATTTGAAAATTCCAAGAAAGAAGTTGGGCAAGAAATACCTGATTATCACAATAACAGATTATAGAACTTTGTATCTGAAGATATTCTCAAGTCACATCTCAACTGCTCTGTCCTGTGACTGTGAGAAATGGATTTACAAGATAATATCAGTTTCCAAGTGCATAAAACCACCCAACAAATGAAGAGCATCACTGCTTAAAACTGTGCTGTCAAATATAATAATGAATAGTTACATGTGATATTGAAATTTAATTTTAGTTAAATATTATTAAATGAGTAGTTTATCAGTCATGTTAGCCACATTTCAAATGTGCCACATTTCAAATGTGCCACATACAGTGTCTACCATACTGAATAGAACTGATTATAGAATGTTTTCTTATTTAGAAAGTTCTGTTGCCATCGCTAATTTAGAAAACTCTGCTTACACATTGAAATAAATAGAAGCTGAAATTACTTTTCCATTTTCCCTTTAGTTATTATTTATAAAGAAAACTATGAAAGGAATTTAACTTCTTCCCTGTTGAATCACTGAGAACACAAGAAAATAAGAGAAAAACTTATCCCCACGGTTGAAACAAGAAAATGAAAGAAATGCCATTCACAATAAAATAAAAGCCAGAACAGTAAGCTTGAACTGACGCTGAAGCCCTGAAGCTATGGGCTGTGTGGAAATCTCAGTCAACAAGGATGTCGGTGTGATGTTAAATGTTAATGGCCACTCAGAGCTTCAGCCCATAGCACACAGGAACTTATAACTGAGCCTCACACGTAATGCCTGGTTCTTTGGTATAAGGACAAACTAGAAGAGAAATTCTGCGACTGTTGGAAAGACTACAAAGAACTGGTTTGGCCTGTTCTTTGAACTTAAAGAAACAGACAAAAAACAAGCCCCTTCATAAAATTCTGACTGTGAGCTTATCCATGCCTTCAAGGTTTGACTTCACAATATCTTCAAATTTTCAGAACACCAAAACCTAGAAATTAACATGAATTCAAGCTAGAAATGATCTTGGAGTGACTAGTGGTTGCACTAGTTAAGAGAACCATATCCTGACTCAGTCATCAGAGAATTCCAACAGTTCACCCTGGCTTACAAGGAGTTTATAATCCCAAAAAATATAGTGATCCTTCTACTGGAAGGATCATAAATTGGTACAACCACTTTGGAAAGCAACTAGCATATCTAGTAATATAATCCATCATTTATCTTAGGTGTATATCCTAGAGCAAGTCTCACATATGTACAGTGACTTAGTGAATAGGAAAGTTCATAGTAACATGGTAAGTAGTAAGAAACAATCTAAATATGCATCACTAAAAGACTGGTCATAATGAGTTTGCAGGAATAGTCACAATGGAATACAACTACTATGGTATTTAAAAATAAAAATATATGTAAAACAAGGAAAAAACTCGAGTTAAGCCGAAAGGAACATTTTAGAATACTTACTAAGTTTAAGGTTTAAGTCAGAAAATGATACATGTTGCAAATAGAATGTTTAGTCTAAGACTATATAAATGGAAATGGAAAACACTACTGAGAAGCTATTTCCTTAGAGAAAAGTTGACATAGTTGTGTCAGTAGATGTTTCTTATCTTAAACTGAGTGATTGGAATACAGGTGCTGATTACAATAGTCTGCACTTTTTATATGTTCGAGTATCCCATGACTTTTGAAACATAGGCCCTAAACCAACATCACAATATCATTCATTCAATTCCATTGAACTTCCAGTGCAATCCAAAGTGCTAACACTCTGTGTTTGAAAAATCAGTGAGCTGAGTGAAATTCAACAGGAATAGAGCTAAGGAAAGGAATTGTTTAAGCATATCATGGGCCTTTTGATTCAGGAATTCTACTTCAAGTCACTTTATTCTACAAAATCCTTCCACAGATACAAAGTAGTATATATAAAAATTTCATGATAGCCTTGTTATAGTAGCAAAATACTCAGAGTAACTCAGTTACCAATAGGGGGCTATTTGTCTGATACACCCATACAGTAGAACAATATGCTGTTCTGAAAAACGAGAAGCTTTTTGTGAGCTGGTACAGAAATTATCTCAAAGACACAGAGAATCTCTAGGAATAACATTACAGACGTGTTTAAAGTGCTGATTGCTCATAGTTTTATATAGAGCTATATCATAGGGTGCATGCGCACATACTTAATGTATTGCAAAAGAAATGGTGCAGAACATGCTTTATAACTACCATAGAATAAAACTAATAACTAATGTAGAAACAACAACAAAAAGCTACTTAGAAGTTCAAATTATTTTAACTCCTTGATCAAAGAAGAAATCAGAATTACAGAATATCTGAAAATACTGTATGTTAAAATTTACAACACATTAGTAGGATATAGACCTAAATTATTTCTTTAATAGAGTAAGATTATTGGAATTCAGCATTCTACCAAAAGGTTAGGGAAAAGTACTCCAAAATTAACCTTAGGAAAAAAATTAAATGTAAAACTGGAAATTAATAAAAAGAGTAGAAACTATCAATCCAAATACTTTTGTTGGAGAACAAAACCCAAAACAAAACATTCAACTTTTCTGTGTTAGAGAGAATGATGTTCCCTCCAAATATGTCCAATTCCTATAACAGACCTGGAGATGACTTTGCCTATGTTATTGAGGATCTTGAGATGGTTCTGAGTTTTCTACCTAAGTCTGGATTGTTGTAGGGGAAAGAAGGAGTCATAAGAATCAGAGAGGCAGAGATCAGAGACGGGTAAAAGCAAATGGTCTCTGGAAGCTGGGAAGGCAAGGAAAGAGATTTTGCCCCAGTACCCCAAGAAGGGTACAGCCTTGCCAACATCTTAATTTTTAGTCACATTTCAAAGACCTATTTCAGATTTCTGACCTCTAGAACTGTAAGATAATACCTTTGTATTGTTTTACTCTACTAGAATCATAGTTTGTTACAGCAGTAATGAGAAACACTTTTTAGCTTATTTTTAAGGTAATCAAAAATAATAAAACTGGAAAAAGAAACTACATCTACAAAGGAAGTGAAAAAATAAGAAAAAGTTTTATATACTTATGCAAATAGGTGTAAAAACGAATAGGACTTTTAAACCATGGCCAGTAGCATAAATCTCAGACACTAGAACAGAAGTTCAGTTACCCTCACTTTTGTTGATCATTATTTGCATGTTGGCCCCTGTAATCATATTAAGGAACAGAGTAAGAACCCCAAGATAATCAACTGAAAGATTGTTATGTAACTAGTATGTCCCCAAATTTGACTGGCTGTTAAAATAAGGTCATACTTCCTTTCATACATAATTTTGTCTTTTCACCCATTTAATATCCAAAAGTCCATTCTACAGAATTTGCTGGCTCAAATACTTTCTGGGTCACCCTGTTTAAGGCTTTAATGTTAAGTATAGACTGGCAGCAACTGAACACCAGCTTTCACTGCCTACCCATTTTACCCCACCCCACTTTTTCCCCTGTAAGCTTCCTCATCCTGAGTTCCTGGTGTTATCTCCCAGAAGTCTCCAGGTCGCCATGGCCCTTTCAAATTGCTTCTCCCACTTGCAAAAGATCTATCTCCCTAATTCCTATTGTCTGTCTTTTATTTTGCTCTTTGTATTTTGGGTTTCTCATGTAAGAGCAACCAATATGTAAGCTTGTGTGTCTGATTTATTTCACTAAATGGTCTCAAGGCACATCCATTTTCCTGCAAATGACTCAAGTTTATACTCTATGGCAAATTTGTTTATAAATACCACACTGTTTATCCATTTATCTGGTGATGGATGTATAGGCCACTTCCATAATCTAGCTATTATTAATTGAGAGGAATGTGATCATTAAGTACTACAAACATGTACTAATAAAAACATTTTTAATGCTTCTCCCCAAGGTTGGAAAGAGACTTCACCTCAATACCTCCATCACTTAGTGTAAGGTCAGACTACAGTTTTTAACAAAACTATACTAATAATAGAACACAATTACAATGATGGGAAAAAATTTTACTTGGATATCAGTGCTTCTTGAGTCTACCCATGTTCCTCATGGGTAAGGTTAGCCTCTTACCTGCCACTCTGTTGTAAGAGTCAGCCTACCCCCCACTAGCTGTAGTGTCATTTACTGTGTCCCCTTAACTCAGACCACACAGGAATTTCTGCCATGCAGTCCACAGTGAAGATGTTCCTTAATGTGATGCCAAGTCATTTCATTTAATTGTCCCAAGC